AGAAAAACAGGAACCACCTTTGGTGGGAAGGTGACAGCGTTCCGTGCGCCTTCGGTGTTTAATCATGCCGGCCACATGACCACGGAGATGTCTTCAGGAGCGCTGGCTCTTTGGCTTTGAAACGGAGATGAGCACCGCCCCTTAGAGTCGGGAACAACAGGGAACGTTTACCTTTATCTTTAATCACTATTCAACTGTTTATCAACCCTGATATCAACTGGGAGAGAAACTCTGCAGCTGGTGGAAAATCAAACAGATTCCGAATCAACTTAGCTGACTGTCATTCAAAAGGTAGAGGAAAGAACTAGAGGAAAAACTATACTGGATCTAATTCTTACTAATAGAGAAGAAGTGATAGAAAGAGTTGAAATTGCCAGAACCTTGGGTGACATATTGGAATTCGATATAATGCAAACACCAACCAGTGTCTCAAACTTTAAAAGAGCCAATTTTAACAAACTCGGAGAAAGCCTAAGAAAAATTCCTAAAGTAATTTAGGATAAAAATCCCAAAGGGGAAAGCAACTCAAGAAAAGGTGGGAAGCACTGAAAAATAAGATCATTAAAGTCCCAACACAATACCACTGAAAAAGAAAAACAAGAAATCGAAGAAGAAACCAACATGGTTGCACAAAAAACATTGATAAACTGACAGACAAAAAGGATAAGTACAAAAACTGGAAAGAGAGACACATAACTAAGGCAAAATATAAGCAGATAGTCCGAATCTGCAAAGTCGGGAAAGCAAAGGCTCAGAATAAACAGACTTGCAACAAAAATCAAAAATAATTCTAAAAAAAAGCTGCTTTCAACATATAAATAGCAAGAAAAAAGTCAAGGAAACAGTTCACTAAAGAGAGAAGATGGCAAGGAAATAACAGGCCATAGAGAGGGTTTCAGCTTAACTCATTCTTTAACTCTTCACGCAAAAAGAAACTATTGTGGCCTGGCAGCGGCCAGCAGAGCTGGCGGCAGATTCAGACAGTGAGGAGGTTGGGGAGGGACATGGGCCAGTCCTGGAGTCTGGGGTCTGATGAGGGCTCTGTGTCGGAGGCAGAGAGGGAGCCAGGGCCGTATGCCAGTTATAAGCTGCCTTCGGAATCGGAGATCAGTGAGGCAGAAGAACAGCTGGAGCCTGTTCCCAGTGTGCGCATGCACAGAGCTGCTAGACAAAGGGAACAGCTAAAGAACAAGGGTGGACTTGGGAATAAGGCCACAGGTGGATGATGAATGGCCCCTCCCAGAGGATATAAAAGAGGAGCGAAAGGGGAGTGGAGTTTGCAGGAGACCATTAGTTCGCTTCATTGGTTCGTGACTCTCNTGGACTAGATGACCTCCAAGGTCCCTTCCAACTCTGTTACTGTTAAAGCGGGGGTGTCCAAACTTGGGAACTTTAAGACTTGTGGACTTCAACTCCCAGAATTCCCCAGCCAGCATAGGTGGCTGCGGAATTCGGGGAGTTAAAGTCCACAAGTCTTAAAGTTCCCAAGTTTGGACACCCCTGTGTTAAAGCCTTTTGGAAAAAGCACGATTGGAGAAGCTCTGGAGAATCGACCCGGAATTATCAACGCGAGCGTCCCTCTACCCTTCAAAAGTCTATATTCCTCAGAGCGGAAGTCTATGGCGTTTTCTTAAAGCTTCGCGGACCCCACCTTTCTTTTTCCGTCCTCCATCGCCGGAAGTGACGCGGGGTGGGCCCGGCGCTGCTTGGTACCACTGTTTTCCTTCGGCGCCATGCCGTCGGAGCAGTTTCGGATGGAGACCGTCGAGGCCCTGCGGAACACCCGCAAAGGGCGGCTGCGCTACTGCCGAGACTGGAGCCCGCTCGAGGAGGTGCGCCGCCTCGCCCTGGCTCCTCTCTTTCTCTCTCTTTTCCCGGTCTGGGGGACTACAACTCCCATCGGCCTCTATCCTAGAGGGGAAGAGCGTGATGGGAGTTGGATTCCTCACCTCCATCCCCACCAAAGTCCAGGGGGTGACATCCTCCAGCCCCCTTCCCTCGCTGCGGGGAACGATGCTGTTGCTTGTCCTAGCTGGGGATGATGGGTAGAGTGGTCCAGCAGGCAGGGAGGAGGACACCCTTTCCCCTTTTAGTGTAATTGCAAAAAGAATGGGGGGGGGTTTTCTCCTTGCAGCCCTCACCCTCAATTTTTCTTCCTTGAATTTCCGACCAATCAGGCGCCATATAAATTTAATCAATTTTTATTATTTTTATTCTAAAGTCCTTGAGTTACATCACAATGGAGTCCAACGTTGATGTCAATGCGTTCTTGTCTCCCCCTCCCCAATTTTGAGACCTTTCTTGCCATAGTCATTAAGCGAATCACTCGCTGCCGTTATAAAATGAGTCACCATGTCTGGCCTCCCTTTCACTGACCTTGGTTGTCAGAAGGTCGCAAAAGTGGATCACGTGATCCTGGGACACCGACCATCATAAATGTGAACCGGTTGCCCAGGATTCAAATTCTGATCAAGCGACTGGGAAGGCTGCACTGGTCATAAGGGTGGAGAAAGGGTCATAAAGTCACTTTTTTCAGTGCTGCCGTCACTTTGAACGGTAACTAAATGAACAACTAAATGTTGTAAGTTGAGGACTAGCTGTAGTTGTATCTGTGATTTATGATGATTGTATTTTAGGATTATGATTATCACTTGTTGCTTGTATGTACAGTGAGAGCTTTCGCACCACACTTGTATATGTCTTAATCACATTTGAGCAATAAACATATTCTATTTTCTATTCCATTCCATTTCTATTACTTCCAATTCTATTCATTTCATTTCTATTTCTATTATTTCTATTTCTAATTATTCTATTCTATTGCGTGACCCGTCAAAAGCGCGAACATCATAAGCGCGCCAACAACACCGCGGTGCTAAAACCGCGATTTCAAAAGCGCGCCGACAACAGCGCGCCAACAGAAGCGCGCCAACAGAAGCGCAATTTCATTTAAGGTAAGATTTTTAGTTAGGTTTAGGGTTAGGTTGAGGGTTAGGTTGAGGGTTAG